TTTCGAAAAATTGATATCTTCACACGTGAAAATAACATGTTATTTTCACGTGTGAAAATAACACCGTTGCGATGGCTATTCAAAAATACACGGAAAGAATTGCCTGAAAAAGCCAAAACATACTTCATTGATAATTATATAATGAACAGAATATTACATGGGCGCTTGGAGATACGAAATTTATCTTCTCGTGTTGAAAATCTCTCACTCGTTCGCTGCGCTCACTTGTGAGAGATCTTTTCAACACTCGAAGATAAATTTCGTATCTCCGCGCGCCCATGTAATATCCTCTATATACGAGAAGAAAGATGGAAAGAGTGAGATATGAGAAGAGGAAAGAGAAGAAAAAATATACGAGAAGAAAGATGGAAAGAGTGAGATATGAGAAGAGGAAAGAGAAGAAAAAATACACAAGAAAGATGGAAAGAGTGAGATATGAGAAGAGGGAAGAGAAGAAAAGATATACGAGAAGAAAGATGAAAAGAGTGAGATATGAGAAGAAGGAAAGAGAAGAAAAAATATACGACAAGAAAGATGGAAGAAATAAGATATGAGAAGAAGGAAGAGAAGAAAAAATACACGAGAAGAAAGATGGAAAGAGTGAGATATGAGAAGAGGGAAGAGAAGAAAAGATATACGAGAAGAAAGATGGAAAGAGTGAGATATGAGAAGAGGGAAGAGAAGAAAAAATACACGAGAAGAAAGATGGAAAGAGTGAGATATGATAACAAGGAAGAGAAGAAAAAATATATGAGAAGAAAGATGGAAAGAGTGAGATATGAGAACAAGGAAGAGAAGAAAAAATATATGAGAAGAAAGATGGAAAGAGTGAGATATGAGAAGAGGAAAGAGAAGAAAAAAATACACGAGAAGAAAGATGCAAAGAGTGAGATATGAGAAGAAGAAAGAGAATAAAGATATATACGAGAAGAAAGATGGAGGGAAGGGAGAAACGCACAACATTATAAAGTTGAGTGGTAGCGAAAAAAATGTCAACGTAAAAAATTCGTGTTAAAGCACATAAAATGTACCTTGGAATACATTTATAAAAATAATCGAAGGAAAATAAACGAAAAAAGAAAGAAAGAAAAAAAGGATGAATATGGATGGAAATGCAATATGTCTTGAATACGAAATAAAAACTATAATAGAAAAGTTGAATACAATATGTCTTGAATACAAAATAAAAACTATATTAGAAAAGTTGAATGCAATATGTCTTGAATACGAAATAAAAACTATATTAGAGAAGTTGAATGCAATATGTCTTGAATACGAAATAAAAACTATATTAGAAAAGTTCTGGATTTTTGTGTTTTTGATTTGGTTGCTTGCTTTTCTTTGTTTCTTGGAGCTAAGAGGTTTACTTGTAAATTCAAAGCATACCATCGTCTAAACTTGTGCGTGATGGTAGCCTTACTGAAATCTTATATCGATGTTTTTAATAGCTAATTGATCGCTCTTTATCTTGACGGTGTATAATTTACCTTTTTATCATTACTGTTTCATTAGAAACACCGACGCAGCTCACACTAGTTTTTAGCTAGTTTTATCGTTCTTTACCTTGTTTTCATACGATAAGAAATAGTAATTAGAAAACTGATGTCTAGCTTAGTCTGTAAAAACATTAATTTTCTCTCTCATAACACCTACTCGCAGCACTTTACTCAAAATATGCAACAGCTAGTTTACTGTATTTTGACGATAAATCGACACTAATAAACAGCTTGGTCCATCTGTGGATTTTTTCGCTTATACTTCGTCTATTAGTACGATGACCCCCTATTTTTTCTTTGCATTCAAGGCTTTGAATATTAATCTTTCAATGTAAAAAAATAATTAATTCTATTACTGTTGATTACGATCTCTAATAACTCGAGAAGCAAGTCCGTGACCTCCACTTTTTTTCGCATTTTTGAATAAGCAATTGAAAATCTTTAAAAGACTAGATTTAAAAAAATAATTCTTTCCGTCCGGTACAACCTTAAAAACGAAGTTGACACAGTGTAACATAAAACTATAGTAAAAATTAAAATATTACAAATTTCTTTAGAGAGGATGAGAAAAACTCTCGAATGACCCTCTTTCACGCTTAACGTTATTCAAAGAGCTTGCTTTGATTTTTGCGTGGTTATCCGACTTAGTGTAACGATTCGCAATGAATATAGGTTAGAAATGTCCAAAAAGAACACCTTTCTAACTATGAATGCCACAGTCATTGTCGCGAAATGGTCGTCGCGACGAAGTAGGTTTTGGTGGGTTGATCAAGGCGTTTGTCATGATATTCTATAGGCACGTGCACTTGAATACTTTGTTATACGTAGAAAATACAAAGGAAACACTTCGATTGACGTCCATCACAATTTTGTCGCGCATGTTGTTGAGAAGATTATGTCAATGAAGTCGATCCCTTTCGAGGATTGGCTGAATGTTGTTAGACAATCAGAGGTGAAATAGCGGCATGTTTACAATTTAGAAAAAGAAGCCCTATTTCTGTTCTCGTGCTTCCAAGACTTTAACTCGATAATCTAGACAATAAAATCTTTCGTGAACTTCCTCCTTAACCTTCCCCACTTCCTCCTGAACATTCCTCACTCTTTGCTTAACAAAGCCCAACTCTTGCTTTAGAGATTGGATAGCATCCTGACAAGTCTTCAAGGTCTCGAGAACTCTGCAGACTTCTTCTTCTTGACTGATAGCCAGCTGTTCAACATCTTTGGATAACTGTGCAACGTTTTCTTCGTTTCGACAAAGAGCCAGTTGGAATTCTCCAAATAACTGGGACACTTTATCTTTGATATCCTTTGCCAACTCTGGTGGAACTGTGTCGGCCATACAGATTCCTACACCTAAAAATAAATCGAAACGATAATTATAATAAGAATTAGAGGTTTTAAGGCGGTGTTACACCAGATAAGGTTTATCGCAGCTTGTCTTGCAATGTTACGTTGTCAAGCGATAAAAATTGCACGGAAACAGATCAAAGGGGCAATAGATATTTTTAGCTTGAGTGTAATGTTTTTCCATTCCATACCACGTGTCATTCTTTAGATTACCATTTCTTTTTAGTGGTTGCGCACGAAAATAGGCCCTTTGCAGCTCAGTAATCACGTGCTGATTAATTCACTTAGAACAAATGAATGAACATCTTGATTCCCATGAGTGAAATATGGTGAGCAAACAAATTTTCTACAACCTGTTTCGAGAGATCGTAATAAAACTGCATTTCGTAACACACTGGATACACATCGTTTCATTCAGTTCTTTACAAGTAGCTAAAAAGAATCACCAATTTAAAATAATTTTAAAAATTTTGCTCACCAGTAAAGACACGTGACCGTTAACTGCAAAGGGCCTATTAAGACATACGAATATGGATACGAATCAAACAAAGAATCTTGTTCCCAAGGGAATGAGGTGTGGTCTGAGATGAAAAAACATTACGCCCAAGGTAAAGAGGTCTGTTGCTGAAACTTACAATTCTGTTCCCAATCTTTCAGTTGATCAGCTATTGTGTTTTCACTGTCAGATGATAGCTTTAGAGCTTTTAAGAGAGAACGCATAAGCTTGAAGGAACCTTTCAACTTTGTTTCATCCCAGCTTTGGAAGTTACAGTGGCCCCATTCATTTCTTACTTCTTTTCGTACTTTACTTGAGAAGTCTTGAACATCAGAAGAAAAGACACTAGCAGAGGAAAGAACACCAAGGACAGCAGATAGATCACAGGTATCATTGAATCCTAGAATAAGGAGGAAAAGAAAAGAAGTATTCTCATTATGAACCAATAGGTTACTCCCACCCCAGGTCCAGCATCAGTGAGTCTTTCCATTTCGGGCGTACTGGCGGTAACTTACTGGTGGTTTTGTATGATTGCCACAATGGCAATCCATTATGTCCAGTATTGTAGTCTTTCATGTTCTTCACTTCCGTTGTTAAACTTTCACAGCAGTTGTTAATTTATCGGCGTTTGCCAATTCCATTTCTTAACATTCGACTGTTTAAATTCGGCTGCCAATCAAAGATGGCCCTTTGAATACAGGCTACGAGATGGTTGATCCTTTCATGCTCATATTTCTTGTACTTGCAGTCTCTTCTGTAATATTTATTATCACCGCATGATAATAATCAGTCTTGAAAATGATTGTCATTGCTTTACACTGTTCGAGTTTGTGATAGACATGAGAATGTAATTTGAATCAAAGCTGGAGTAAATTATACTTTGAGCTTCCATGATATTTTTTTACCCCGTCAATTCTTTGTGAATTAAAAAGAAAAACCCCCTTCAGACTATAAATAAAAAATTCAAACCCCTTACGTTTTTTATCCAACCCGGCGGTACTCCATGTAAATAATGAGCGGTACCTTAGGGCACAAGAGTTCCCAGCATACAGTCCTTTGACTAAACGTTGTCGTTTGATCGGCTTCATCCCTACGCGCCTAGACCGAAAAGGATCATGGGGATAATTAATTCACAGTTACTAGCTGCCGCATATGTTATCTAACACGTCTTGAGCTCGCTGTTTTCGATCCCATTTAATTTGCTAAAACCATGCNGTAATACCTTTTATAATCTTCATCTTTGAATATACGCTGGTCTGAGCTTTCCACTGTTACCTTGAACTTAAGAGACAAAACTTTATAAGCTTTAATTTTACGGGCCACTGATGGTTTGCAAGCCCAAGTATTACCAAGAGAGTAGAAAGACAAAAACATGGCGGCTGTTGAGCTGTTTTGGTGCCGTTTACAATGGATGCTAATGAGAAATCTTTTGTTAAATGGCACGCACCAACGCTCCCCGGAGAGGCCGCGATGACGTAACGTGCAATGGAATAATTGCCCTATTTCACTATGACGTCACTGCTTGTTCATGTGGGGGATAGGATCGCCAAATCCAATAGAAAATTCAACAAAATTTTCTCCTGCCGAAACAGTTTAATCTAAAATGGCCTAGTTTTCAGATATAATATGTGTTAATATGTACTAAAAAATATTCTGAGCGTTTGCTGGCTATTCTACTTTTCTTCGTGGATTGATACGGGTTTTACAACAATTTTCGGTGAATTTGTGTTGATTTGACCCCCTCCGACGACCATGATCCTTTGCGTTTAAACAATAGATTGTTTTGATGTGACGTCATAGTTTCTACCCCGACATAAACAAGCAATGACGTCATAGTGAAATAGGGCAATTCCCTGGGATCGGTACTCATTGGACTACACACAGGAACCCCAACGTAAAAACATTCATCGAGTCAGGGTAAAACCAGGCATTTTGATGTCACACATCGTTTTAACGATTATCTTATATAAAATTGAGAAAATAAAAAATAAAGAGGGAAAGGATAAAGGAATTTTGAAAGTGATACCTAGGAGAGGTAAAAATAAAAAATACGCATATTAATGAAGTACAAGGAATCCCCAGGGGGTGGCATAGGGTCTAAAATATACACACGACTCAATTTAATAAATGCTTGGTGGAACACACTTCGCTTTTGAACTGATACCCGTATTTACCGGTGATTTTGATCGCGATTTCAGAATTTTCTATCTGTTATGGTTGTTCACTTTTGGCTTCGTGCTGAGACCAAACCTCTTGAGAGACGAACGCATTTGACACCAGAAAAATGCAAAGAGCTTGTTGAATCAGGTGAGAGAGATGCCATATTTAATATATCTACAATGTGATCGACAATATATTGAACAAATCAATTTACGGTACAAAATCAAAAGGAATATTTTCACCTGCATACTTGTATAGGATTCAAGGTGACAGTGGAAGAATCTGATCAACGTATTTTTAGAGATGAAGAATATCAAAGGTAAGCTTTTGATTTCAAGGTACATACTGTATTACGCCATTAAAGCTTGAAATAAAACAAACATCTGAACTGTGAAGTCACGTAAACATAAGAAAAAGGTAATAATAGAAATAACTATAAATGCCTTGCCGTGTCATGACCCCCAGGTTTCTGTCAATCCCCACCTTTGGAGTTCTTATCTGTTGGAAGAGTTTATAACACACTGTAAAAATATTTCAGGATTTTCCTTTAATTGTTCATGCCACAGGAAGCCCATACAAGCTTTGAGAGTTGAATGTAATTTGTATAGGAAATAAGGCTCGTGCAATCACAAGAACTTTTAAAACATTACTCGTGTCTATTAATTTCCAAATTGTACTCGAGATCATGCGATTTTTTTGTTTATAGTTCACTCAACAAAATTTCATTAGAAAATGCGAAGCGACGCCGTTCATCTTTGTCTATTTGGTGGCC